TTTTTTTTAATCAAAGAAATCAATATGAAACTCGAACAGGGCAGAAATAAACAAATACATCGTAAAAACATTCCATCCTCAGGAAATACACATTTATGCAAACTCAACTGTTAACAAGTGAGAGATTTAAGATGCTAGAAAATAAATGTCTAATTTTAAATGTGGGCCAAAGTTTAAATGTCCCAACTTGTCTGTATGAGTTTGACATGATTTTGTTCACATCACTGCTTGTTTGTCACATGATTCATTTGGCATAATGCAGAGACATGTAGCACAAGTATAACCTTTCCACTCACACATGTACTGAACACACACAACAGGCACCTGCCTGATTAAAAAAAAAGTATTAATGTTTCATAATCAGAAAAAGAACTGTGCTTACCACCTCCGTAGCTAACTCCGCTCCTCATTGTGTCCATCAGAGCCCCACTACGGCCAGGCCCTGACCCGAAAAAGCCTCCTCTGGGGCCTCCCATCATGGGTCTATCATATGGGCCTGGTCTCTGGGCTCCCATCCCACGCCGGGGCAGCTCATAGTAGGCTCTGATTTCATTACGACTGCTCTTAAAAATCTCTATATACCTGAAATATGAGATGCCCAGTGGGTGGAGGGGGACGGAGTAGAGAGTTAAGGTGTAGAAATGGCTGAGTTTGGTTTACATACACAAATATGAATAGTGTCTAGTATCTAAATAGGGCTTTCTTAACATGAAGCTGAGTGGCTAGGCATTGAACAACCTCAACAGAATCTCATCATTAGCTGGACTAAGGGTTGTCATTAAAAATGTCTACACCAACCTCACCTTTTGTTACTGACAGTAAAGAAAATCCTTTTAAGATGCTGCATTTCTGATTTAACGGTTAGAACTTGTATGCCCTGTGCTACACCTCTTCACTTAATTCCCTGTTTCATAGCAAATTATCAATTAATAAAATGAGTAAGAACATGAAAGAAAGTGCCAAATGTTGCTCTAACACAATTAAATAGAGCTCCCAGGACAAGGATGACATACATTATAACTGTTACTCACACCATCTTTAACTTTTAGATAGATACATCCCTTTTCATCCCACAAGTCAAGATGTCACCGTTATTTCAATACAAAAACCCATTAAACCCATCCCATTAGCATTTAACAAATGTTACATGACCCACCCCTAGTCAAAGGGCCCACCCAATAAATGTACCCGCTTCATAGTCTTTTTACCATAATTTGTCTTGCAAACCAGCCCATGCTTTTCATTTAACCTTCACATCACCACCCAATTAAAACCATAATTACTCTAATAAGACCACCCATTAAATACTACAACAGAAGCCAAACCCAGTCCAGCCCGTCCTCTTCCCGTCTGTCCCACCTGTGCCCTATTCTTTCCTTGTGTTTCCCCAGAGCCTTTTCTGCTATCTCCTTTGAGGCAAACTGCACGAAGGCTTCCCCTGTGCTCCTCCCCTGGTAGTCCACTGGCAGAGTAATCCCATTTGGCACGATTCTCACCCTTCAACCAAGCACACATAATACATAGGTCGGTAGGTAGACTCATAGATGTATAGAATAAATAGAACAACACCCACTGAATCACTGTAGCTTTCAGGATTAATACATGTCATGGCAGCAAATAAACATGGGATGTGTATTCTGATGAGACTGCATTAAAAAGGGGCATTTCAGGGGACTGATTTTTCACCTATAATATGCCTAGTTAGAACAGGGAAATATAAAGCAACCTGGAGTGAGCAGCTAGACTTTTAAAATGTGTATGTAGACGATCAATTTTCTTAGTAAAAAAAATCTAATTTAGGTCTAAATGATCAGTTATTAGCAGTAAATGACACTAAAAATTACATGAAGATGAAGGCTGCCGGTAAGCATAAAACTGACCCCAGATCAGTGTCATGGGACTGTCTACCTTCTGACAAACCAACCCAGTCTGTCCTGTCTTTTAACCGTCTTTAAGGACACATGATAACATGGTCTTAGAGCACAAACATAAATTCAATAAATGTGTTTAAGTAACACTAATATATAACACATAAGTCAACACAGGAGGACTATACTGCAAGGACAATATAGATTTTGCCTGCCTATAAGCTATGACAGACAGACATGATGAGTGACTAATAGTCACATAAATACCACTTTGTTTTATGAAATTGTGCTAAATTCAGAATGCAGTTGGTCACACTTTAGATTTTTAATAATTCAGTAAAAGAAACATTTACTGGAACAGAGGTAAAGTTTAAAAAGGAGCTGGCAATTGTAAAGTTAACTGTTGTGCGAATAAAACTAAAACAAAAACTTGAAAACAGAATTTTTTTAAAGACACTATAGTCTGATGTAAGTTCTAAATATGTTTTATAGAAAGTACTACTTGACCTTGAACAAAGAAAAAAACTATAGCCTTGTAAACTTGCAAAAAACAAAAAATGTGTGAACGCAAACAGCTGAATTTTTCCCTCAAACTTATAAGGAGTTTCTCCTGCCAGCCCCCTAATATTTGTCCACATGAAGTCTGAGTGAGCTGGTGTGATGTGCAGCAGAATATAATCTGGAGAATTCACTTCGAGTGAGTTGGAGTGGGTGGTGAAGTTTATTCCCCGAGATCAAACAACTAAATCAGGAGGATTTCAGGGACCATCCTCCTGAAATTCTCTCGAAATTTATCAGGAGTGCTGACTTTGTCAAAGACTTATTTTACAAGATTTTTCTTATTTGAATGAATACTTTCAAGGCATATTATGTGATATATATATATATATATATATATATATATATATTTAAAAATTCAACACTGACTGTTGATTAATCGGCTGTTTATATGCTTGCATGCATCAGGTATTTCTTTTGGTGTTTTTTCCCATTTTTATTTTTTACATAGCAAGTTAAAATGTTCCACTGAATATTAAAAATCTAGTTGCAGTTTTGTGATCACCCTCTCCCAAAATTAAAGTAATTGTTAAAAAGAACATATGGTGTAACTTTCATTAAGACTTACAGTTCAATTAAATGGAGAACACAGACAGGACTTTAAAGTGCAATCATGTCTATACCTGAGAAAAACTGAACAATCTCCTCCTTGCTACAGCCAAAGGGAAGGCCTCTGAGTCTCAGCATGCAGCCACTACAGCTGTCATAGTCGGCAGGACCGCTACGCTTCAGCACCCAGTCCATTTCACTGCGGTTAGACTTGAACACTGATTTAGAACAGAAAGAGACATGTCACAATCACACTACAGTACGGGTAATATATTGTTCAGATACTGTCTGGGAAATGTGTTTTTGTAGAGGAAATCAATTTAACAAAAACAAAACAATTCTTTACATGCATGGGAAACACACAGGCAACATCACCTCCATGGTGGGCTAATATGATGACAGCAACAGAGTAGGTTGCACTTTTACTTTTGTATCAGTAATGTAATATTATGTCCCTAACCCTAACTCCACACAGGGTAAACACTCAATGTTGTGTCATTCCCTTACGATGGTTATTTCTTACCCTCTATGTATCTGTGTCCCATGTATTTACGGTCCTTGGAAAGGGCATTCTTGAAATCCTCTGCCGTTATAAGCTCAATAAATGCCTCTCCACTGGGACGGCCTTCTTTAGAGTAGGTGAAACACACTCCATTCACTTTCCCAACGATGTCACAGTCTGTAAAGAAGTAAGAATACACAAGATTGTTTTGTAATTGATGCCTACTCATGGACATTTTCTGGCATAAAGTAATAACGGTGGACAAACTTCATTTAATTGTATCTGAGCAGTTAGAAGAATGTAGAATTAAATCTGACAAATGTTTTTATTCACATCACCACTAAGATGGATGAGCAGCCAGGAATCAACATACTTTTAACACACAATAGAGTATGTCTTTTAAATGTCATTTAAGTCTTACACTCATTTACAATATATTCAAGCCTCAAGCTATAGTGAAATCTGTGTGTACTCTCACCTGAGAAGAAACTGGCAACCTCCTCCTGTGTGCAGGACCAGGGTAGTCCTCTGATCCGGACAACATAACCCTCTTCATTCAGAGACATCCTCTCCCCCTCAGACAGCACAATACAGCAGCAACACTTCAAATTACTGTGAAAATGTCTTTTATTTATTAAAAAAATAAAGACACACACACCAATTGTCAACATTAAATGAAGCCGTGCTGCATGTCTGCCCTGCCTAGTCTTAACTCAACAATGAACAAAGTGTACCTAGACTTAAAACCATATGATATATGCAAGAATGAAGCATTATAATGTGAGTTATGTGAGTTGTTACACTAGTTAAAGGCGCTAACATAAACATTAGTTACTTCCTCTTTGGTTGTTTTGGTTGTAAAGTCTATTTGTTGTCATAACAAACGTAACCTCGGTCACACTTCTACTCACGTTTAAATCTCCAAAGGTTTCCTGACAACAAGACGGTATATTTCCACTGCTGAAGTTACATCTCTGAACTTCACCAGAAGCGATGTTACATATAGAGTTCAACCTTCACAGCGAGTGAGCTAATGGTGCTAATGTTAGCTTGATAACAGTTAGCAGGCTACATGCTACATGCTAACGGGAGGACTGTCAGCGGTCAAACGTACAAGGCAAACTGGTTCAATTCCCAAAGGTCGTACACTGTCACTGTTCGACAAAACAGGTTCTCTGATACAAATGTGTCAGTCCGATACAAGAAATGTCAGAAAACTATGAAAATAGCTTACAGTCGTCTCTTGTCCCACGTCTCCTGCTCCTGTCCCGAGCCTCAGGTGTCACTTCCAGCAAACCAGCGCAGGTAGCCCATGTTCTCGCGAGAGTTGGAAAATAAATAAATAGCAAACACAAAAACAAAAAGTAGTAAAAGTAATAATGTCCATTTTATATTTGACCTATTATAGGAGGTAGACTTATACTTATGAGGGGAGTTGAAGTAAATATATTTACTGTAGTTTTTGCACAGCCTAATAAAAGTATTATTTTGAGGAGCCTTAGGTCCTTATTCAATGACCGAGTCATATTGTGATTTGGTAAAGAAATTAATTTTTAAGCTTTTCAGATCACTTAAAAATCCGAAAACTTTTGTTATATTTGGCTTTGTAAAGCAGCCCACATTTTAAATGTTATAGGCTGACTAGCTTTGAGTCATTAAATAAAATTATCAACCATGCGAACTTTTTATATGAACATTATCAAAAATGTATAAATGAATCACACGTTGTCTAGACACCGTAATTATGGATCTGTCTGGCATTGGTTGATTGGACCTATTAATGAGTGTCAACCAGCCAAGCTGCTAAATCTCAAATCTAGGGGCAAATTATATAGCCTACTATACTCGAGATCTGACAGAAGTATAAATAAATAAATAAATGTATAAATAAATACTGGAATAAATAAATAGTATTGAATAAATAAATAAATAAATAAATAAATGCGTGAATAAATAAATAAAAACCGGTAAATAAATGGGACATAAATAATTAAATGTCTTAAATGTATTTCTACATTTATTCCTACTTGTCAGATCTCGTCCTCCATAGATGAGAGACTGACGCTGGGGGGCGTCTGCTGTCACCAAACTAACAGGGTAAAGTCCCCTGACAGCACTGAGACAACAGAGTCCACATCGTCCTCAGTGGAAACTTCAGTTTCAACCCCGCTTACAGTGTACAATGGAGATTTCAGTATTTACGGTAGATGCCTTCACCAATTTACCTTTCAAAGGTAACCCCGCGGCTGTTTGTCCACTTTTGCATGTGAGTAAGAATATTTTGGTTAAACAAAGTAGGCATAATGTTACGATCTGCAGAAGAGGGCTTTGTGCATTTGCTTGAACCATGATAATCGGACTTGTACAGTCAATAGATTTGGCAAGTTTTGGTCTCTAGTGTGTTTTATAATTCACTTCAACATAAACCACCGACATGCAAAAAAAAAAAAAAAAAGGTTGTTTAGATTATTTATTCTTATTTCGTGTGACAATAATATTTAGTTTTGTGTGTGTGTCTTGTGTATCATGTGTCTATCAGGAGCTGAGTGATGACTTATATCAGAAGATAGCTACAGAGATGAACCTGGCAGAAACAGCCTTCATCACCAAGATCAACCCCTCTGACAATTTCACAACAGGTAAGATATTATCAGTTTAACATATTACAATTGCATAATTTCATTTTTTAATCACAAATACTGCTAAGAAAGTTAATAAAGGAGCAACATTTTAGACCATGTTTTAAGACATTATTGTTACATAGTAAGATGTGGACCTCTTTACAGTTGAACTGAGCTTGGTTTGCATGTTCTTGTGTGTGCACAAAATGAAAAAAGCATGTCCTCAGCAGTTAACACTGTTCAAAACACAGCTAAGAGTTGCATTGTTGTGACGGAGGAGAACAATGCAATGAGCTGTGACAGTTCAAAATGCAGTGAGCAGTCATTTAGTTGTTTTGTCCACCACTTAAGAATCTAAACTATGTCGCTAGATATTACATTTGGAAAAACATTTGACATTTAAGTGACGTTAAGCAAAAGACTTAAGTTTGGTATTATCCCATCTAAGAAATATGTCATTGATCACTTATTACAACTCATCAACATTTTATTTTCAAACAGTGGTGATAGTGTTGGCTGGATTTGGTAAACTTGATTTATGAGGTGAACTGCTGCTGAATTTAAAGTTAACTATTTTCTTTCAGCTGTTTCAGATAACTGTGGAGTTAAGAATCTTTTTGACAGTGGGATGTGTTTAACAGGATCAAGGTTCCGCCTTCGATGGTTTACACCCACCAATGAAGTGAATCTGTGTGGTCATGCAACTCTGGCCTCTGCAGCAGTGCTGTTCCAGAGTAAGAGTAAGACACAGAACAAACACAAAGTAAATCAGTAAATCAGGCTTAAATTAATATTTAAAACAGTCAATGCATTGACCTTGTCTGGAAAACTAGGAAATACACACAAAGAAGCATTTTCACTCCCGTAATTGTTTTTAACATGTAAACACTTGAATAAAGCTAGCTCACCAGCCGCTCTTTGACCATTAAATTGTATTTGCGTATGCTATGTCTGATAGAAAATGAGAATTCTGTACTGGTGTTTGAGACCAGGAGTGGAGACCTGGCTGTCACCCAGCAGGGCGAGCGGTACATCATGGACTTTCCTCTTAATCCGCCTGCCCAGGAGGTACACTATGTCTCTGTCTACAGTCTGTGTCCTTCATCATTACATCATGATACAGTAGCAGAACCAGGCGATCCTGGTTTACCTTCCACATTCATTCTTATCTTGTATATTTTTGTCATTTAGTGTAGTATGCATTGTATGGCCTGAAAGATATGAAATCATAATTAACCATTTTTATTGGGCCCCTAAAATAAAGAACACGATGAACGTTATGATGAACCTCCCCATTTCAGTCAGTACTGTTCATTCTTTTCATCAATCACAACCCTATTTCAATCAGCATCACTGTTAAACTCACAGCTTTTCTGAAACCCAAAACACACTCCAACCGTCCTACAACACTTTAACTCAAAGCTGCATCACTCATATTTGCTATCCTGACTCTGATTTCTCCCTCTCTAAAACATGATTACTCAGGATCCCAATGACTTCAAAGACATCATCAAGGTCAGTCAAACCCATCTGTGAATGCAGATTCGTAGGGCAGATTCCTGTTTCACTGTCTACTTAAACCCTTTATCCATATACAAGCGTGATTGTGTGTGTACATAGTGAACCTTCTCTCTGCTCCTGCATGTTTGATAAGGCTGCAGTGGGAAATCACCCAATCCAGATGTTTACCTGTGCTCCAACACCAAGAAACTTATGGTTCGACTGGCTGACAGCTGTGACAGGTTATAATAACACACACTCACAAACAGATGGACAGACTCGGGTTGAAGTTGAGGGACAATCTTGGATGAGCTAGAACGTTGTTGTGTTATTTGGCTCATGTGCTGCATGTGTGTTTTCTCAAGGTCAGTGCTAACCAGTCTGAAGGTTGACCCTGTGGCTCTTCAGAGCAGTGAGAGGAGCGGGAGAGTTAAAGGACTAATCCTCACTATGAAGGTACTTTCAGTAGTGACTCTGTTGTATCATAATGTCCTCAATATACAACATGATAACAGAGCATTGCTGTATGAAACGTCTAGCCATGTTTGATTAAACTGCCTCTCCTTTAAAGTCTTCTTTATCTGTCAATAGGATCCCCAGACTGCCAGCCAGGATACGACTTCTACTCTAGATATTTTTCCCCATGGAACGGCATCCCTGAGGATCCAGTCACAGGTAGACCCCTACTTACTGCCCATACTAATGGACACAGACAGACCATCTTTGTTGGGTTACATTGTGATATCATGTGATTCTACAAATGGCTTGAATTGTCAAAGTATGTAAATTATGATGTTTTAATAATTAAGGCTCTTGTGAGATTTTAATAATACAGTTCTCTATATGACATAATCCAGCCCATAAGGAAGAACATAATTATTTCTGTCAAATTATAGTCAATGCCTGAAATCACTACCACTGGATCTGTGCCAACACGAGGGGCAGAATAGCACGCTGTCGAAACAACCTTTGTTTACAATTTTCTAAATGTAGACAGTTGTACTGTT